GAATGATATGGTAGAACAAAAAAGGGGCGGGGGGGGGAAGGGGGGGACTGATGGGGAAGGGGCCGGGGAATGATATGGAAAGCACCGAATAGAACAAACTAATGCATTCCTACAAATTCAACCACCAGAATGATATGGGAGGCGCCTTTTTTTTTCTTCTTTTTTTTTCCCTCGAACTTCATTTGTTTGGTTGGGGAAGCCCCGTGCACATTTCCACAGTCAGATCAAGAAACCGATGAATCGGAACTACCGTCTTCCCCCGAACATAACGCACCCTGAAATTGAACGTATGCAAGCTATATTTCCGGTCCGATACAGCCAAGATGAGGGTGCGTTGTGTTGGGAGGAAGACGGTAGTAGCACTCCTCAGAAGGAAAGACGCAGAAAAGAGACGACGAAGGCCATTTCCAGAGTACAGGTGGTTGTTCAAGGTGGGCTTCTTGTGTGCCGAGTTGAGCAAGCAACAAGGACAGAATGCAATCTCTGGTCGACGCCGTGGCAAGCACATCTTCGATCCGTCTCCTCCTCCGCTTATAAGCCATTGCATTCGGGTAGACGATAAAAATGTGTTTTAATTAAATCAACGGAGATATCTGAGATGCCTTGCCATTCCCCTTTCATTCCCCGTCATTGCATTTCAATTAGCCTTTTCATCTCCTTTTCATTGGCCTTTTCATTGGCCTTTTCATTGCAATCAATGCCTCTCAATGCCTTTCATTGCGTATAACCCGAGACGAAGTTTTCAGTAGCGTTGCAACAGCAATCTCATCAAACGTTGAAGGCACTTAATCATCCCCAAACTTTTTTTTTTTTTTTTTTTAAGAAACAATTTCTTTATTTCCAGAAATGATAGAGGCCGGGAAAACCTCAACATGACAACCCGGAGGAAAAACTGGGGCCAACGAACAATTTTTGGTCCCCTTTTGTTTCCCTTTTTCCCACTGGTAGAAATACTAGTAAGAAAGAATTTGAACAGATGAAACAAGGATGAGAAACGGGAAGAGATATCGAGCAGACCTGATCAAGTGTTGCTGTCCTCTTCGTCGACTTGTATTCCTCCGATCCGTTGCCTCCTGCAGCACCCTTGGGCAACCCATGTCGACTTGCATGCCTCCAATCCATCTGTCTATCAATAGACGACCTGGCAGGGAATGAGGCCCATCATGTCAGACTGTCAGTTAACGTGCGCAATCATATCATCTCCAGAAGAATCGCCCCTGCACGCAAACCAATCACATTAACAATTGCAGATTCAAATGCAACCTCCCATTATCTACTCTTACGTTCGTACTGGCAACTCTTTGCCGTCATTTCCCTCCTCCTTCTTCTTCTCCTTCTTCTTCTCCTTCTTCTTCTCCTTCTTCTACTGCTCCTGCTGATGCTCTCTCTCTCTCTCTCTCTCTCTCTCTCTCTCTCTCTCTCTCTCTCTCTCTC